ATTTAGACGCTTCTCACTTTGTCTCCTAAGGATCTATGTAGTATTTCATCAAATATATCATTACTCCATCAACTAATTGTGTAGGGATAATTTAGGCATTTTGCAACTTTGATACAATTAATAGTTTATAATTTGCATCACCATATCTAATGGACATTACACAACATAGTACCCACTAATAGTAGTCCAAAATATTCTTTATTCTCGCCTTTAGAAGTCGATGGTTAGTTTGTAGTGTGGTTAGGAAATATGATGATTATTCGATATTATAACCAAGAAACAACATTTTGTCTTGTAAAAATATACAGGTCCGGGTAACCCACAATCCACCCACCTCCCACCCGAATAAGTGTAGGTAGGAGACATATCAAGTTGCGACTGAGGGTTGGCTCCATTATTTGGTGGGGCTGATCCAGATGCAGATTCCCCACATGGTTGTTGAGTCCCTCCATCGCTTCTTCGACAATGATCTCTTCGTTGCTCTTTGATTCATCTGCGACTATCGGTCGACGGCCAATCCAGGTCCTCCTCCGCATCCAGTATCTCTTTCGGTGCTTTCTTGAACTGGCGGAGAGTACGTTCAAGTTCATGGTCAAAAGAAAGTAAATAGTTCGACTGGCTATGGGTCATGTACTACCTTCACACAAGCTGAAAACCAAACCCGTAAAGGGAAAAAGGGGGAAAAGAAATAATGCAGAAATTAAAACTAAAGTAACATAAATTCATTTTTCTTCAATAACCTAGTTATTCCGACAATAACGCCAAAAAATTGTTTCGCTAAAACCAACACCCTAATAAACGACCAAGCATAATCGTAACTCAGGAATGTAGTATAGCAGGTTCAGTTTCACTCATCAACCCGAGTCCTAGATGTATTGACTAGTCGGTGAATTCTCTGTTATCTAGTGATGAAAGTGTAGAGAAGTGTTGCATGCAAAGCATAAATGAAAAAAAGGTAAATGTTATGATTTCCAAGTTCGAGGAAGACCACTCATGTAAGCGTTTCCCTAGTCTGCAGTTAGGCAAAGTTGTAATTCATTCAATCCAATTGAGTTGATATTTATACTGCGGAAAGTCTTGTGAGATACTATCCTCCACGGGAATAAACTACCAACGCAATTCAAGAAGATTTCCTCTACTGGGTTTTGACTCCATTACAGAGCAATGAATCGATTGACTATCGTACAATCGATTCACTACTTCCAATTCAGGTTTCTCTATTAACCTATTCAAAGACTATCATTCTAGGTCAAAGCAAGAATCATACAAACGTGATCAAGATTCATATAATTATGATTAATGCCCAATTAAATATATTATCATCAAGTGTTAGGAATATGGGTTCTCTTTACTAAAGCTGAGTATCGAGTTAGGTATGACGATACCTTCGAGTTTCAGTTGTTGCAACTATTACTTGGCGATCTCGGTGTGATATGCTAGGTACCTATGAAGTTATATGTAAATTATATTAGATTCATTATGATCGCCACCGATCTTGTTCTTCATGATCATACCAGAGACATTGAAGTCCACGTCCACTACATTAAAGACCTTCTTCATGATGGCACCATAGGGGTTTTTTATTTTACTTCGTTGGACCAGATCGTTGATCTCTTAACTAATGCCTTAGTTGCTAATCATCACTCTTATATAGCTGGAAAATTAATGATACAAGAGCTCTATCAATCTGTGGGAGGCTGTTGAGTGCTGAGTTGCTACCCAGGCAAGCTCATGCAGTCATGTACATCGGCTTAGGCCTAGTTATAATAAGAAAGGTCATCTTCTCCAAGTCTCTTCTTCTCAGTTAACTTTTTATCTTCTCTGAGTCTCTAGATAATCTTCGTCTCTTTATTCATATATATATATATACACGACATACATTGATGATAGAAAGTGAATAAGAAAGGTTAAAGCTTCACCGTGTAATAGACTTGCTCACCATGAACAAGAAAATGTGTAAATTACGTATTGTTTTGTTTTTATATTGTTTCGATTGCATCCTTATTTTGATCGTTCAACACAAAGCCTTAAAGTATGGGGGTTCTTGCTGAATAATGACAGTGAATTGATCTATGGTATATCAGGCTTATCATATGTTGGAGTTAGAGTAAAGCTTTTAGAGGCAATATAGTTGAAAAGTGAGTGCCCCAAGAGGTGACAATGAACTATGACAAAACTCGCCCTAACATTTTAGGTGGATGCTCCCTCTTTGTCGGGAAATATTTCTATGGCTTCCCCTTTAGGAAGCCGCGCCCCCCGAGAGTTGCTAAAGACTTTCTCTTCCATTTGTGGAAGGGAGGTTGAAGCAAAGGAAGAGCTAGAGCCTAGAGGGACCCCCTGAGTTGACGCTCTTGACTTACAAGGAAAGCTCATCCACCTCCCTTTTCACCTCGGATTCAACAAGAAGCTAGACTCCCTCACACCAAAGAAGAATTAGATCTCCTAGATTGGAGTGACTTTCCTCGAGTGCACCATTTCCTAAAATTTATGAAAAATGACGTCCGCTGGAGGCAGATTATCAATTGGAACTATACACCACTGGCTCATCAATGACAAATTGACGAGGAAGATTTCCAAAAGTTTGAAGGTTAGGGGAGACATGTTTTTAGAGATTGTAGGAGTTGGGGATTTTTTAATTGTTATTTGTTATGGAAATTTGAACTCGCCCCGCGGGTATTACCCGACCCGCAGTAGAATGGGGCGGGGCATGAGTATCTACTTCCGACCGCCCTGTCTTGCCCCGCCCCGTTCTAGGTCAATTCTATCTCAATTTCTTATAGTATCTATACATATTTCTCATATTTTGACTTTTCTTCAACTAGTTACGGTCAATCTTTCAACTTATTAGACTCAATTATCCATTATATTATCAATAGTTTCATTCATAAAGTTGCCCCGCCCCATGGCCATCACTAGTTTCTGACCTCCTTGGAGATCCTTTGCTACTCCCGGTTATAACTGATAGATCCATGAGTAATGACACTCATGGGCCGATACCAAAGTTGCACCTCTTCTTTTGTAACCTCTCTATTCCTCTCCATTGTTGAACTTGCAAAATCTAGTGAAATATCTGCAATAAATTTCATGGAAATCAATTAAGGCTCATAATTAATCATCCACTAGCCCCAAAAATATGGGTTAAACCATGGAGTATAGTAAGGATATGATGATTAATTTGTAGTTTCATTAAGTTATTGGTAAATGTTCAATTAGAAGATTTCATGTGTGTCTGTTATTGCTTTGTATATAAACAAAATTATCTTGAAGAGAGGAAAAGACAAATCATCTTTTGTCACCTGTCAGGGTTAAAAGTTAGAGCACTCCTACTATGCTATAAAATATTGGTGCTTTAATGTACAACTTAAAGTTGTACCATAATGTTAAATGTATAAGTTAAGGTTGCACCATAAAAGAATTTGTACCCTTATGTTATGGTACAACTTTATAACTTAAAGTTGCACCATCACATGAATGTACAAGTTTAAGTTATACCATAAAAAAATTTGTACAAAAGATTATATGTACAATCTGAAGTTGTACCATAATGTTAAAGGTACAACTTCAAGTTGTACCATAAAGACAAAAAACTATAGCACCAATACTATATAACATTGTAAAATTCTCTTAAGCTATGATATGAAAAAAGAATTGTTGAATACTATACAATAAGTGTATTTTACATTTTTTTGAAGTTGAAAATGTCGTGGTTTATTTTTTACATATAATAATCTAATATATTTTATTTTATTTTAGACACTATATATTTATCTAAAAGAATTTAATTTTGGATGGAGGATACATAAAATTTATGGATTATCACCACTAGCTAAAATAAATAAGACAACTTAGGGCTGTAAAACCCTAATGCCTTCATCACGCCGTCACCGGATGGGCAAAGGAGTAGAAGAGTTGCGAAAATGACTTTTAACCGTCGATAGCCGGTAGGAACAGCCGTCCATCGTGGCGACTACACTCTCTCTAATCTCATCCTATCTCTATTTTCTCCCCACTGTCAAATTGAAATTGTAAATTATTTTTTTCACCATTTTTTCTAATAAAATAGTTTTTTCTCCACGTCTCTTTTTCAGTTTTTCCCCTTGGCTCGCACTCGGCACTCGTTGCCTCTATGTTCTTATATCTCTGCCTCTCTCTCTATACAAACAAAACAATCTAAAGTCTCTTTTCTTCATTCGCATCCGCTCGCTCTCTCTCTCTCTGAACCAAATTGCATAAATAAAAAACCTGAGAGGAATTCGACTTTCAACGCAGAGAGAGGAAGGAAGGAAGGAGCAGAGAATTTCAGAGGAAAGGGAAATTGGAGAGCAAGGGCTGGTGTGCTTCGCTTCAATTCATTCCAAGGTTCGCTGCCAGTGGAAATTCCTTGCTGCTGTCGTTGCTGTTTCGATAATCGCTGCTTGGAACGCGCATCTCCATTGGTGCGGTTCCATTTTCGCTATCCGCGGCCATGGCCGTTGTAGTTGCGAAGGCTCGAGTTCGAACTTGTTTCGGCTTTTCTTTTTGTGTATTTGTCGCTGAATTGGAAGAGGGACTTGGAGAAAACGGCGATCTTTTCCTCTGTCTATGTCTGCCTGCTGTTGGATATCTCCTCGTTACAATTCTCCCTGCTCGCTATGGCTGTCTGTGTTGTACTGGAGAATTTCGAATTGCCCTTGCGTGTTAGCTTTGCCTTCAAGTAATGGCGTATTTGCAAACCTCTCCTCGTGGTTGCTCTAGACTTGTTCTGCCAATTCGGTTTGGGATCGTTTGGTGGTTTCCTTGGTGATCTAGGAGTTGAAATTTGTTTGGCTCTATCATGATTTATCTTGTTTTTATGAAATAGGAGATTGTTAGAGTTCGCCTGGGTTTAGATCTGCCTCGCTTGTGCTAATGAGCGGGTTGTTTGGGTTTGCAGGTGTTTTTGAAGCTATGAGTTGCTGCTGAGGTGAAAGGGAGAAGCTTTATCGTTTGTCGCCGGCGTCCGTCTGTGTCTTTCTGGTGCGATGAAGAGGTCAAGAGATGAGGTCCATATGGCTGCGCAGCTTAAACGGCCCATGATCGCGTCCAGAGGAGAAACGTACTAAATTTTATCTCTCCCTGTGATGTTTTCTTTCCGATCCCAATCTTGGTTCATTATTGTTTGTTTCCATCTTATTGTGACATCGGAGCATGTTGGTCTAATCGGGATTGTGCCCTCTAGGTTACCATTGATACATGGACTTTAGCTTTTAGGTGCATCTGCTGCTTTTTGAATTTCCTTCACTAGTGTAGACATTTTCTGTTTAATATTTCGCTTGTTGAAGCAAGGTTATAGGGGCATTGTTCTGACTAGCGGTGTTTTGCATGAATTTGGAAGGGTGTTCGTGTTATCAGTTTAGAGAATAATTTGACATCATATTTGTCATCGCGTCAGTAATGTTATTCTAATGCAATTTGAAGATTGGGTATTAATTTGCTTGTGCTGTGTGTAAATATTTGTGCCTTGAAGTTCGGGGCACCCACAGATGCTGGGAGGAGTTGGAGCAGCAGTAGCTGCGGGTGCTGGAGGAGTAGGAGGAGGAGCAGCAGCTGCAGCAGGAGGGGTAGTTGCAGCCCAGAAGCTTACCACGAATGATGCACTGACTTATCTCAAGGCTGTAAAGGAAATATTTCAGGACAAGCGGGACAAATATGATGATTTTCTTGAGGTTATGAAAGATTTCAAAGCTCAAAGGTATGATCTCTATGAGGATTCTAGCTCTCTGTCCTGTTTATGATCTAAATTTAATTAATTGTGAGGCTAGCAAGATTCTGACTATTAACTTTTTTTTTTGGTTGCTGTAGAATTGACACTGCCGGCGTCATAGGAAGGGTGAAGGACTTATTTAAAGGGCATCGTGACCTAATTTTGGGTTTTAATACCTTCTTGCCTAAGGGGTATGAAATCACTCTTCCACTGGAAGGCGAACAACCTCCACAGAAGAAGCCAGTGGAGTTTGAAGAAGCAATTAGTTTTGTTAACAAAATTAAGGTATATGTGTTGCCCATTGTACATACTTAGTCTACATTGTTATTTGAAAGGCTATAACAGTATGTGGATACTTATGCAGACAAGGTTTCAGGGTGATGATCACGTTTACAAAGCTTTTTTAGATATTTTGAACATGTACAGAAAGGATAACAAATCTATCACAGAGGTTTACGAGGAGGTATATCATGTTCATTTGAGGCATTCAATTGTTTTTATGATTAATAGAACAGAACGGCCTATCAGTTCTCTTTCTTTTGATTTCTCCTAGGTGGCTACACTTTTCAAAGACCACCACGATCTACTTCGGGAGTTTACTCACTTTCTACCTGATAATTCTGCTTCAGCCTCTACTCATTTTGTTTCTTCGAATAGGAACTCTATTCTTCGTGATAGGAGCTCTGCAATGCGTCAAATGCATGTTGACAAGGTTTTTTTTCTTCTTTTTCACTCCCTTTTCATCCCGGTGATGTCAAATCATTCATGAAATTAACATTTAGCTTTTTTTTTCTTTTGGTTACCTGTCAGAAAGAACGGACTCATCCTGATCGTGATTTCAGTGTTGATCGCCCTGATCCAGACCATGATAGGGCTCTGATGAGAGCAGCAGATAAAGAGCAAAGGAGGCGAGTTGAAAAAGAAAAAGAGAGAAGGGAAGATAGAGATAGGAGAGAACGTGATGACAGAGACTATGAGCATGATGCAAATCATGACTATAGCATGCAACGGTTTCCTAATAAGCGGAAACCTGGTCGTAAGTTGGAAGATTCTGGTGCTGAGCATCATGTTGGCGTGGGGGATGATAAATATGGAATGCATCCCATGTCATCAAATTATGATGATAAAAGTGCTGTTAAAAGTTAGTGCAAGACTTTATTTTGTTTAACTTTGTCGACTTAATTGTGCTTCATTTCAGCTAACATTTACAGAGGTTTGTAAATATTCCAATTGCTTATCTTGTCTATCACAATACAGGTGCGTTGAGCCAAGAGCTAGCTTTCTGTGAGAAAGTGAAGGAGAAGTTGCGTAATCCTGATGCTTACCAGGAATTTTTGAGGTGCCTCCATCTTTACACGGAAGAAATAATCACTCCACCAGAGTTACAATCTTTGGTATGGATTATTGCTTCCTGAAATCATAGTAATCAAGAAAAGTATTTTTCTACAATTTATTTCTTATTGTTGCATTGTTAGGGCAGCCTTGATTTCTGTTCTGTTTTTATAGTTAAGATTTTATTGTTTGGGCCTTCACAAAAATTAGCCTAGAAATGGAAATGTGATTAGTTAACTTAAGAATGCGCGAAGCCTGCATCATATTCCAGCATCTGGTACTGCTTCTCTTTGTTTTTGGTGCTTAACTTGGCCACTAATTGAGCACAACTAGGATCAACATGTGCTTAACTTGGCTACTTGTTGAGCCACCTTTCTGTCAAACAAAACCATGACATGGAAGCACTGCTTATTTCAGGTGGGAGATTTAATTGGAAGATATCCTGATCTTATGGATGGCTTCAATGACTTTTTGTCACGTTGTGAAAAGAATGGTAATTTTCTAGTATCTGCTGTGGCAGGTTCCCTTTAAATGTTTGGTCTATTTTCTAATAGTAGTCTGTTTTGCAGAGGGCCTACTTGCTGGCGTTGTGAGAAAAAGTAAGTTTTGATCTAAAAAAATTGATTAGGTTGCCCTTGTCAAACGCTGCTTAGATTCTTGTTTGCTGATCACATCCTCTAGAAATGTTGTTTCGTGCTTGAATTCAGTCATAGCAAAGTGTAACTGAATTTTCACACTTTTAACTTTGTTGGTTAGAAGATGCAAACAACTTGATTTGCATGTTCTGTGGATTAGGGTTCAGATGTTATGGACTGTTTTTGCACTGTTTCCTTCGGCTTTTGCTTTCGGTCATTACTGAAGGGAACAATTGTTGTCTAAGTGTCGAGTATGGCTGGGTGCATACATCTTGAGTAGTGTTCTTGCTGACTGCTTTCCCCTCAACCGTTTTGGAATGAAGGTAATTTCCCTAGACCTGTGAAGGCAGAGGACAGGGACGGAGAGCGTGTGCTCGAGAGGGATGATGGGGCCAAAGAAAGGGATCGTGAAATGCGAGAAAGAGATAGACTTGACAAAAATGTAGCCTTTAGCAATAAAGACACAGGAAGTCACAAGATGCCCTTGTATTCTAGCAAGGACAAGTTTTTGTGGAAACCTGTCAGTGAACTTGACCTATCTAACTGTGACAGCTGCACTCCAAGTTACCGACTTCTCCCAAAGAATGTATGTAAGCTATTATGTAGGATTGTGGATATGACCTTATATAAAGATGCTGAAATGATCTGGTTTTCCTATTCAGTATCCCATTCCTATGGCAAGCGCAAAGAAAGGGATTGGTGCTGAAGTTCTGAATGATCATTGGGTATCTGTCACTTCTGGAAGTGAAGATTACTCGTTCAAGCACATGCGCAAGAACCAGTATGAAGAAAGCCTATTCCGATGTGAAGATGACAGGTTAGTCCTTCAAACTCGTGTAACAATTACTAAGGAGCTGTTACAGTTCATTCTCATGAATCCTAGCAGGCAGTCCCTTTGCAACTTGTTTACATTAGATGTTTCCTCTCCAGTAAAAGTCTTCAATATCTATGTTGAGACCTTTGTTATCTTGTTATACCAATTTTGAGTTGGTGATTTCTACTATTTGTCAGCAATTTTTCAGATTACTAAGGGTCTTTATTGTTTGTAGGTTTGAGCTGGATATGTTGTTGGAATCTGTCAACGCAACTACCAAACGTGTCGAAGAGTTGTTGGAGAAAATCAACAACACAAACAAAGGAGATGGTCCCATTTGTCTTGAAGAGCACCTAACAGGTTGGTTATTCCTGATAATTTTTTGCAATCCATTCTTGATCTTTTTACTTCTTTACACTCTCTTATGGTCCCTTTGTCCTCTGTTGTTTTAGCTCTCAATCTGAGGTGCATTGAACGTTTATACGGCGACCATGGACTTGATGTAATGGACGTATTAAGAAAGAACGCTTCTCCCGCTTTGCCTGTGATATTAACTCGTTTGAAGCAGAAACAAGAAGAGTGGGCTAGATGTCGTGCAGATTTCAACAAAGTTTGGGCTGAAATCTACTCTAAGAACTATCACAAATCACTTGATCATAGGAGCTTCTATTTCAAGCAGCAGGATACAAAGAGCTTGAGCACCAAAGGTAATTTGGTTCTTCCTGAGAAGTTCATGGATGCAATTTCTGTTTTTTAGTTCACATTTTTTTGTCAAAATCATCATTTTTTGTAATATTATGTTGGTTTATACGAGTCTTACTAGTGATACTTTGGAGTGGCAGTGTGGTACCATGTGAATTCAACATCATATAATAATCATTCACCTTCCTTTTTTCCCTTCCTGCTTTTGACTCATCCTGCTTGACATGATTGAAGATGTGACTGGTTAACTGGTGGCAATTCGGTTGTTCCTAAGAGTTGCATGGATGAAATTTTTGCTTTTTACTTCATATTTTTTTCCCCCCTCAAAATCATCATTTTGGTAATAGTATGCTGGTTTATACGAGTATTACTAGTGATAATTTAGAGTGGCAGTGTGGTACCATGTGAATTCAACATCATATAATCATCATTCATCTTCCTTTTTCCCTTCTTGCTTTTGACTCGTCCTGCTTGACATTGAGTGAAGGTTTGACTGGTTAACTTGTCTTAGGCAGTTATGGACAAATTGCTAAAATAAGGTAATCTGGCAAGGAGTTTGTGCAGCATAAGGTGCACAATAATTGGGATTTTGTAGAGATCCTTCAAGAATTTAAGAAATCAATCCCTTTTTTGCTGAAACAAACAAGTATTCGTCTGTTTATTTTGTTCCTCTGTCTAACTTGAGACTTTAAGAACTCGATCCCTTTTGTGATGTCAAACTTGAGTCTTTAAGACCTACTGCCTTCCTGCTTCAATTATAGTATCCGAGTTTATTATCCCTTAATGCACAAGAAAAAACACATTGAATGACTTTGAAAGCATTATGGATTACTTGTCCATCAAATAACTGAAGCACTACCATTTTCATTTTTTTTTCCACCTATGTAGTTGACGTACTACTATAGTATTAGTGGCTTATTGTTTTCCTTAAATGCAACAGAGGACTTGTCTTAAAGAGTATGGTTTTATTATCATTTGGGCGCATAATTAACATTTGGTGTTCTCTACTCTACAGCTCTTTTGGCAGAGATAAAAGAAATTAGTGAGAACAAGCGCAAAGAGGATGACATGCTGCTAGCATTTGCTGCTGGAAACAGGCGTCCAATCGTACCTAATTTGGAATTTGAGTATCCCGATCTTGATGTTCATGAGGATCTGTATCAGCTAATCAAGTACTCCTGTGGGGAAGTTTGTACAACTGAACAGCTCGATAAGGTCATGAAGATTTGGACCACTTTCTTAGAACCAATGCTTGGTGTTCCTTCTCGACCTCAAGGTGCGGCAGAGGACACTGAAGATGTCGTGAAGGCAAAGCCTCTTTCTCCCAAGCACGGAGATAGTGATGGAAACCCAAGCGGTTTTGCTGCCATGGACAGCTCAAAAAACATGGTAAATCCTTCAAGAAATGGAGAAGAAATTATCCAACCTGAGCAGCAATCAAGTTCAACTAAAGTCTGGTTAGATAATGGGGTTAAAGAAAACGGTTCTCCTGTCACGACCAACCATGCTGCTCGTAAAAATGATACTTTGTGCAGTACCCTTCAGCATGATAGTAAGTTACAGATTGCTCCGTCTGCAGCTTCCGAATCTTCTGGGGCTGGTAAGCAACCTACTTCAGGCGAACGGTTGGCTAATTCAAGTCCTTCACTTGCTACAGTGGTGGAGTTAAGTAATGGAAAAGCAAATCCTGAATCAGGTTTGTCAGATATTTGCTTCATCTCCTATGGATTATCTTCTTCTGAAGTTGGTTGATTCGACCTCTGATATTTGAGATCTGCTTTTCAGGTCCTGTTGCTGCTTCATCAAAACCAAGTAATGGTGTCACTAGTGGTGGTGGGATTGCAGTAGGTTCCAGTAAAGAAGTTTTGCCACCAACAGAGGTGTGTTCTTTTTGCTGTTTGAGCTTATCTATACGATTCGTTCTTCACAAATTGACTTGCGTGACCCAGTAAATTTCCCATATGTTTAGGAAATAATACTTAGTTCCTGATCGAATCCGTGTGTGCATTAACTTGTTTCTCTTTAGGCTGGTGAATTTTCTAGGCCAGTCGTATCAACAAATGTGGTTGCGGTAGAGGGTAGTAAAGGTCAGAGATACAATGAAGAATCAAATGTGCAGTTCAAAATTGAAAGAGAGGAGGGGGAGTTGTCTCCAAATGGAGGAGATTTTGAGGAGGATAATTTTGCTGCAGTTTATGGAGAAGCTGGTTCAGAGGTTGTTAGTGCTGCAAATAAACCTAATAGAGAGAGTGGCGCTCCTAGCAGCAGCAGGCATTATAAAGGACAAAAGAATGTGGAAGCAGTTGAAACGCAAAATGGAGAGGCAGCAGGAGAGAATGATGCTGATGATGAAGGTGAGGAAAGTGCTCAAAGGTCATCAGAGGACAGTGAAAATGCCTCCGAAAATGTTGCCGATGTCTCCGGGAGTGAGTCTGGTGATGGTGAAGAGTGCTCCAGGGAAGAAGAGCATGAAGAAGAAGATGGGGATCATGATGATGAGAATGATAATAAGGCTGAGAGTGAAGGTGAGGCCGAAGGAATGGCTGATGCTCATGATGTTGAGGGAGATGGGACAACAGTTTTACCATTTTCAGAAAGATTCCTTCTCAATGTGAAACCTCTAGCAAAGCATGTCCCTCCGGCATTGCGGGACAGAGAAAAGGGTTCAAGAGTTTTCTATGGGAATGATTCGTTTTATGTGCTTTTTAGACTTCACCAAGTGAGTTATTATTTCATCATTATTTGTGTATTAATTCATGATACATTTATTGACAACTCCTTTGTGTTGTTCGCTAGACTTTGTACGAAAGGATACAGTCTGCAAAGATCAACTCATCATCTGCTGACAGGAAATGGAGAGCAGCTTCAAATGACACAAGTTCCACCGATCTGTATGCTAGGTTAGTGCAGCGGGAGAAGCTCTCTTTTCTCGTTTTTTTGGGGGTATAAGGACAGATGCTAATGGCAACTTAATTCATATATTGACCTCGATGGTTTGGGGTTATTTCCATAACATCATATGAAAGCCAGTTCTAAGACCTTGGTTGCTCACATCGAATAGATGTGTGCGAAAAACAGAGCAATACCGTTTTCTAATTCTCGTTTCTGATTGCCCAACTAATATTAATCTGACCATGCATCTTGACAGGTTTATGAGTGCTCTTTACAACCTGCTTGACGGATCTTCTGACAACACAAAATTTGAGGATGACTGCCGAGCAATAATTGGGACACAGTCCTATGTCTTATTTACTTTGGATAAGCTTATATATAAGCTAGTCAAACAGGTAATGATTTGTGACTTTTCGTGACGTATCCTTTTCTTTTCCTATATTTCCAAAATTTCACACCTTCTGCCAATTTTCTCACAGCTCCAAACATTGGCAACTGATGAGATGGACAATAAGCTACTGCAGTTATATGCTTATGAAAAATCGAGAAATGCTGGAAGGTTTGTTGACATAGTTTATCATGAGAACACACGCGTCCTCCTTCATGACGAGAATATATACAGAGTTGAATGTGTAAGTCTATAATCCCCCTGTTTGTAAATCGTTATTTCTTCAGTTCCCCACCCCCAAACTTGAGCTTAACGATTCACTTTTGATTGGGTCTTAATTTCCTACTACATTGTAGTCTTCCGAGCCAACCCGGTTGTCCATACAGCTGATGGACTTTGTACATGACAAGCCTGAGGTAACTGCAGTTTCCATGGATCCAAACTTTTCTATGTACCTCCAGAGTGACTTCCTCTCCGTTGTTCCGGAGAAGAAAGAGAAGCCTGGGATTTTTCTGAAGAGGTGAGCCGAGATAATTAATGACAACCTTTTTTCTCTTTTTTCCCTGTGTTTCGTAAGTGTGGCAAAGCTCTTCATAATTGGACCCCTTGATTCATAATTTGTAGCAGGAACAAACGTAGGAATGCCGTTGGTGATGAATTCCAAGCCATGGAAGGATTTCAGATTTTCAACGGTTTAGAGTGCAAAATTGCTTGCAATTCTTCCAAGGTAGCAGAACGACATTTCTCCATTCAATTCATATCCTCGTGATCATCCTTTTTGAGAATGGAATTGGCATTGTCCTCGTAGTAAAATCCAATTCCGTTTCCCCGATCTTTGCAAATGCTCTAGGTATCGTATGTTTTAGACACGGAAGATTATCTGTTTCGGACGAGAAGAAAAGGAAGGAGAACCCTCCCACAGAACTGTTCGCCATCCCTCAGTAATCAGGGAAAGAGCTGCGAAAGACGAGAGCGGTTCCAAAGATGGTTATCTAGGTCATAGCACTGGATACTCTACCCATGGCTCCCCCCTTCTTTAACATCCTGATAAGGTACGTCCCAAGCTGTTGCCTTTCTTATGCGCAGAAGCAAGAAAAGATGGAGAAAACATGGTCTCTATTTGTTTCATCCATCTCATTTTGCTGTTATGACTGGCAGAACACACTGCATTTTTGTTTTGGGATGAGTTTACGCGCAACTTGCATCGGCATCGGGAGAAATGAACACGATGTTGTAGGCGGAAGGATGCACGTATTTCTCACAAAGTTCATTGGGTCTTCTCCCTGTCAAGGGAAAAGGTGAAATAAAAAGCCGATTAGAAGAGGCAAAAGGCAGCAGCAGCAGTAATAGCAAGGTGATGGGGCTGCGTGATTGAAATGTAGTATAGCTTTTGTACGTTAGGAGGTCAGGCATTTTGAGCCATCAAAATGCTGTTCTTTCTTCTGTTTTTTGTGTACATAGAGAAGGTAAAGAAGAATGTGATCATGTAATACGTGGTGATAGATATCCCTCATCAGATAGACTTGATAATGTATTGTTCATTTCATTCATCATTCATTTTACCCTTACGATCCCACGTCCTCTATCGGCCGAGAATGCTTTCTTGAGATGTCTGATCTTTTCCTTTGCTTGAAGTTGCCATTGGACGCTTTCAGTGGCGGGGAGATGATGACAGTAGGTGGAAGAACATGTGGGGAGAAGAGAAGCACAGATCTGTAACTGTGTTACTTGGGAGAAATAGAGGAATCTCGCACCTGTGGAGGACTAGAAACGACGAAGTCACTGAAGCTATTCTACAGCGTGTTTTAGTATGGATGTGCGGACTGCCATGGACAAAGGCAGGTTTGTGAACGGAGGTGGAGATACTGTGGAAGCTGCCACCTTCATAGTAGGTCAATTCGGATAGCTCCGTTATTCCTGAATCAGGTTAAGGTGGTGTTATTCCTGAATCAGGTTAAGGTGGTCTGATTAGAGATCATACATGACGTTGAATTACTACATTCGCTATTAACTTGAAGATGAGTTCAGGTGGTCTGATTAGAGATCATACATGATGTTGAATTACTACATTCGCTATTAACTTGAAGATGGGTTCCATCACTCGAGCAGAATTGAGAGGATTTGTATAAGGTTTTCAGTTGGCTTGGGATTGAGGTTACTATTCGGTTCTCCTGGAATTAGACTCTCAGTGTGGGGTTCATCTCCTACATAGTCCAGAGCGTTTCGACCATCACATGTTGCCATCCTCAATCTTTCCATGATTTACTTGGTTGGCTGGGATTGTGAAGTTTCTTTCTATTATATATACTGAGAGGGGAACAAGTTTGTTGATTTCTTAGCGAGTCGCGGTCACTCTTTACCATTGGGCTTTCATCTTGTATGACTATCAAGATCTCTCGGAGTCTTGTCTTTAGGGGTGTTCAAACGGTTTGGTTACCATGGTAACCGTTTTAACCGGTACTATTTGGATAATTTGGTTTGGTTAATTTGGATAATTGGTTTGGTTTGGTTAAAGTTTTTAGCTTGTTTGGTTTAGGTTGTTTGGTTTGGTTTCAGACACTCCTAATCAGTCAAACCAAATTAACCAGCTAAGTAATTAGTCATATATCTAACATATATTATATACACATACTTAATACTTTGCATAACCACTCAAGAGTTAACGTTCATCCCTTTTAGACTCATAAAATATAAAGCTCAATATTGCTCATATAGTGTATATTTGTATATGTAAAATGTAGACCACAACATATGGATGCCTAATTTAGATAAATTTCATACATTACGACGGATGAAAACTTGAAAGAAAGGTCATTTCCAGCCTATGATAATTGCTAAGAGACTAAGTCAATTTACACAAACAAAACAATTCATTAACCCCATACCATTGTCATAAAATTTTGTTAGGTGAATACTTCTATACTAATCGTAAGATAATTGTCTTAGTTGCATGTATTTTTATTAAGGGTCAATTATAACTACGTATTGATTGTTATATTTTATTCATTATATAAATTGCGAATTGTTGCATTAATCGGAAAATTTTCATTGTCAATGATAATGTGATTTTATATTGGTTAATCTGGCTAACCAATTAACCAAACCGATTAAACTTTAGTTTGGTTAATTTGGTTGTTTTATTAGTTTGGATGGTTTGGTTATGATATTGTATTCCATGGTTAATGGAATTTAGCCTTATTTGGTTCGGTTATAACCATGATAACCATTTGAACACCCCTACTTGTCTTGTTGTTAATGAAAGTTGAGAAAAGTTGGTGAATTGCTTGACAATTCAAATGAAATAAATGAGTTTGAATCATCGTTTCGCCTTCTAGGTGTTCCTAGAGGTAGGCATGACCAGCTTCAGCCGTGCAATTGGGTTGCCTGCCCCGACTACAGCATCACTTAAGTGGTGATCGGGGAGGGTGTTTCACGGTACAAAAAAAGATACATACACAAGCTTATAATCGTTCGGGTTTGGGTTGGATAGTATGAAAATCATGCCCATCCATTACTCGTAATATTTGAGTTCGGATTTTAAACCTATTCACTAAGAATCCTTGGAATTAACGTTTACGCTACCCAATCAAATCGAATTCAGACGAAAATCCTTGCGGATATAGTTTGCCATCCTACTAAACTCTCACAATAAAATAACCAATTCTTTCCATAGGAATAAAAGATAAATTAAAAAAAAATAGTGAAAAGATATTTGTAGTTTTGTACGGGTAAAAATAGTCTAGATAGGTGCCAAAATGCGACCTTCCGCAGCGTTGGCGAAACACCAGCCTTCTTTATAATAATACTCTTCTTTATACACTTTCCTTCTTCCCAGCCAACTATTCCTTCCCCTTCTTCGATCCCCTCTCTTCTCCAACTTCTCTCCCTCCCTCCGATTCGAATCACCGCCCTCCGATATGGCGCTCTCTCACCTATCCTCCACCAGATCCAATCGGCTCCTCCGCCCCCTCGCGGCCGCCGCCTCCTCCCTCTGCCGCCCAATCTCCACCTCCACCGAGCCCCTCGTAATCGAGACATCCATCCCCTTCACCCCGCACAAGTGCGAGCCGCCTTCCCGCTCCGTCGAGACCAACCCCCAGGAGCTCCTCACCTTCTTCCGCGACATGGCCACCATGCGCCGGATGGAGATCGCCGCCGACTCGCTCTACAAGGCCAAGCTCATCCGAGGGTTCTGCCACTTGTACGATGGCCAGGAAGCCGTCTGCGTCGGCATGGAGGCGTCCATCAATAAAAAGGACTGCATCATCACCGCCTACAGGGATCACTGCACTTTCTTGGGCCGCGGCGGGACTCTCCTCGAGATATTTTCCGAGCTCATGGGTCGACAGGGTGGGTGCTCCAAGGGTAAAGGCGGCTCGATGCATTTTTACAAGAAGGAATCTGGATTCTATGGTGGACACGGGATTGTGGGAGCTCAGGTTCCCTTGGGTTGCGGCTTGGCCTTTGCGCAGAAGTATAACAAGGACGAGAATGCGACGTTTGCTTTGTATGGTGATGGTGCTGCCAATCAGGGCCAATTGTTTGAGGCTCTTAACATATCTGCTCTTTGGGACCTGCCAATTATCTTGGTGTGCGAGAATAACCATTGTAAGGGCGTTAATCTGTTTCTGTTTTTAGATTTCCAGCGTTTTTTCCTTAGGCTCCTGCTACTTTGGAATCGGGTTCTGAATGAATGGTTGTTTGGCAGATGGCATGGGCACTGCTGAGTGGAGGGCAGCTAAGAGCCCTTCTTACTACAAGCGTGGTGATTACGTTCCTGGATTGAAGGTGGGTTTTAGGGAGTCACAAAGATATGTTCTTTCCTTTGTTAGTATTAGGAAGTCGCATATTATCTGATACAATACCATTCTTTGTCATCATATGCTAGCTTTTGCTGTTTTCTTGAAGGATTTTGTTTATTACCAAGTCAATTGGTGATTTTCATTACCATTGTTCTAGTATCAGTACCGGTTCTATCTGGCTAATCGAGACAGTTTCATATGTTTTTCAGTCACTATGCTGTATTGCGTGACAGAAACCTTGTGTTTGTTTAAGCATAATGCTCATCTATAGTTCCGAATGAAATATCACTCTTTCTTAACAGTTTTCTGTTTGGAAATAGGTGGATGGCATGGATGTACTTGCTGTTAAACAAGCATGCAAATTTGCAAAGGAGCACGTGTTAAAGAATGGACCCATTGTGAGTCTCCTATCATCCTTTCTATTGTGTATCTCAGGTGGATTATAGTTCCTTGGTTGGTGGGTGATTCAATGCCATGTATTTTATCTTGATGCCAAGCTAACCATGTAGCCTTGATTCTTACGCCCATCTGTGCTTGTTCTTTTATTATTTATGCTTCATTCTAAACAGTAGCCTGTATAGTAATTCTGCCCCATGTAATTTAGCCCCTGATTTGTGTTATAAATATGGCTGTGCATGGTATTTTATTCTGTAATTCTCGTATCTAGACACCTCTGCCATATATTTTGATTTGTTTGAGTGGCTCCTATACAATGGTTAAATGTTTTTTTTGTTGTTGTTGTTGTTTTTTTTTTTTTTTTTTTGCCTCGAGCATTTGAAAATAAGCTTGTACCATGAAGATTCTGTAATCACCGAAAGTTTCAGAGGATCTTTCCTATGCACAATATCTCACAAACTTCATTCCATTAGAGGTCACCTTTCTAGCAGTACATAGTTTAACCTCAGCAAGATGTGCATAGTGATTGAAAGTTAGTTGTTTGATTTAGTTTATTTGAGATTACTGATCTTCATGTGTGGTAGAGTAGCTGTGTTTCACTTTTAGAGAGAACCTCGGTGGAAATTCGTGTACCTTCCATGGTTGACTGTGATTTTAGGCTGCTACTACATTTGAGAACTAGTACAAGAAACATGGCATACCCTTTGGGGACACGGTTTGGAGAGCTGCATTCATAGTAAAGTGTTCATTGTGATCTTAGGTTATCACAAAATTTGAGATATTGTACAAAGAATATGGTATAGCTTTTGAGGTACTTGCATTCATCATTTGAAAGGTGGAACATCTTAAGTGTTGGTAGCTCTGACTGATGAATGGTGAAAGTTAAATTATCTTGTTGGGAGATAGCGAGATTCAAGGACTAAGACTAAATTACATTTACATGCCATGTGTCAGTAGCCAGAATTCCTGCAACGGATGGCATAGGGGATTATTATACCTTGTTTTCAATGGGTTTGTATTGTTATGTATATAAACTCTATTATTGAAGGAAGTGTTTTGGTTGTTAAAAAGGACTAGTAGCTCTAACTAAGGCGGGAGTCCTAGTCTAGTCGATGCCCTAGGAGAACATTTGGTTCTAAAGAAACAATAATCAAGATCTACAGCCACTAGAAAGAAGATGCTAACTGTAGCTCAGCTTTGTACCAGATATGGATCCTGGTTATGTTGATCAAACACCTCTGGAAATGAATGCAAGTTTGATGCATGCATTAGTGACTTGGAAACTGCTTGTAAAACTCAGGAGTTAGGCCACTGGTAGTTGCTTCTCTGATGGATCATGGAGGGGTGATGAGAGTGGTAGGGGGATTTCTTGTAGACATACGAGATGGGAATATTAGAATTGAACAAGTTGGTTATGTTTCTGGTAGAGGATGGTGTTTAAAGAGATCCTTTGGGAATTTTAGGCAGGCTGCAGAATGCCCATATTAGACTTCAGCAAAATTAATTTCTTTTAGTTCTAAACCTTGTGAGGATACCCAACTCCATGGTACTGAAGGATTGGTGCAATGGGCATCATCCATGTTGAAATTCCTCTAGTTAAGTACTATTATGATGTGATATTTAAAAGGCGAATTGAATTGGGTCCTAGTTCGGCTCCTGTGATTGTGGTCATGCTTGGAGGTTTTAGAGGTTGCAGCTAGATATGTGAGCAACACTCTGGTAACTGAACCAAGTCCTTGATTCAGCGCTGCTAACATGTTGTATGCTACTGTAATCAGATTGCTTAGGCCTAACTCTATAGACTTTTTTACTTTACTCTCTTGAATTTGCCATAACTTCATAAAATGCACCTAATTATTTTGGTGGTGTGAACTAGATTCTTGAGATGGACACATATAGGTATCACGGTCACTCCATGTCTGACCCTGGTAGCACCTACCGTACCCGTGATGAAATCTCTGGCGTGAGACAGGTAATCAGATGGTTATTCATAATCTATGTTCCATTGGGAAAAACTCTTTTATGATGGCTAATACATTCTCTATCTTTCCATTGACCATCTTCAGGAGCGTGATCCAATTGAAAGAGTTAGGAAGTTGGTACTGGGCCACGATCTAGCCACTGAGAAAGAGCTAAAGGTAATTAAGTGTTCAACTTCCTTTTGACACATGTAAAATCGTACAGTGTAGTCGTTATATTTCCTCGTAAGCTTTGTGCGATGTGTTATGGAGACTGAATAGCTGTTTGTCTTCTGATTTTCAGGATATTGAGAAGGAAATTAGGAAAGAAGTAGATGAAGCCATTGCCAAAGCCAAGGTTTGAATTATGAAATGGTTTTGATCACTTAGAGTGTCTTTGTGATATCCCGTACGCTCCATGCTTAACATTGTTTTGGTTTGTGTTAACAGGAAAGCCCGATGCCAGAGCCATCTGAACTCTTCACAAACGTATATGTCAAGGGTTTTGGAACAGAGGTATTTCATCTCCTCAACTTAAAAGTTCAGATTTTCGATATTAAATGCATCATCTAGATCATAGCAGCAGCGCACAATTGAAATGGTCCTTTCCTATCCTGTTTAGCAAACTAACAGACTTCGAATTGTAATGAAACATCTGGAGTATCTCTCGACGCCCAATTGATGTGTTTCTGTTGATATTTGAATTGCAGTCGTTCGGAGCTGATAGGAAAGAACTAAGAGCAACTCTTCCATAAGAGCAGGCTACGGAATTGTGGATCACAAATAATGAAGCATATGTCTTCTCCCTGAGAATTTTTTACTGTATAGGATCACGCTATGGATCCTCCCCTCTTGGTTCCTGGAATTGTTGGTCCTTTTTAGTTTGTGTAGTTTTTCCATTTTTACTCCATTACCTTTATCTGTGCGATTTGCGAACAAACAGAATGTAAGCATTCCTAGTCTGAATTCACAAAGGCAATATCTGGGTGATTCTTTGAGGAGTATTATATACACCAGTATTGAAGAAAACAAATCAAACAAGCAAGGACACAAGGAGATTTACATGAACCATTTGATGTGAACATGACTAATTCATGGAGAGTAAACACTCTCAAGATGACTTGATTAGATGATGATTGAGAGTTAGGGTTCTCGGCTCAGTTGATGATTACATATAGAGTCCAGATTCTCCTATAGCTACTCCATGGAGAGTAAACACTCTCGAGATGTCTTGATTAGATGATGATTGAGAGCATGGCTTGGCCTTTTTGGTAATTACATTTAGAGTCTGAATTCTCCTATTGCTACTCGGACAGATAGAGAGAGATAAGGAAATTACAAGATTAATCCCTAACAAATAATAAGTGATTAACAAGGACATGTAACACGCCCTCTCAAACGTAGGAATAAATATCAAGCATTCCAAGCTTGACACACAAATGATTGAACTGATCGCCGCTCAGACCTTTGGTAAACAAATCCGCTAGTTGTTAAGAGATGGAGATCTTGGAAGGAGCAATATCACGAGAGAGTACTCTTTCACGAACAAAGTAGCAATCCATCTCCACATGTTTGGTGCGTTCATGGAAGATTGGATTAATATAAATGTGAAGGGCAGCGTGATTGTCACAATAAAGAGAAGTAGGAGTGGTCAAGGACACCCCTTAAGTCACACGGAGGAGCCAACGAAGCCAGATGAGCTCACTAACTGTAGTGGCCATGGCGCGATACTCATCTTCACCCGATGAGCTAGCAATAACTACTGCTTCTTTGTACGCCAAGATGCCGGAGAGAACCCAAGAGTGATAAAGTAGCCAGTAGTCGACCGCCGAGCGAGAGAACACACACCCCCATCAGCATCACAGTAAGCTATAAGGGTGAGAGTCTATGAAGTCGGAAGAACTTGCCACGACCCGGTGAGTTCTTGAGATAATGCAGAACCCGGAAAGCCGCATCCACATGAGCCTGTGTAGGAGAATGAACAACCTGACTAAGGACATTCACAGCATAAGTGATGTCGGAATGAGTGTCTGTGAGATATACCAGATTACCAACCAATCGTCGATAAGATGTAGGATAGGAGTTTCAATCGACGGAGAACGACCAAGCTGATGGTTCTGCTCAATAGGAGTAGAACTGGGATGAGTTGCATGAAGGCCACGGGCAGCCAATATGTCCAACACATATTTTTGTTGATTGAGAACCAGGCCTTAAGGTGAGCGAGGAACTTCGATACCTAGAAAGTATTTCAAACAACAGCGATCCTTTATTGTGAAACGAGAATGCAGGAAATCCTTGGCGCGTTGGATGGAAGTCATATCTGTGCCAACCAAAATGACGTCACCAACGTAGATGAGAGTCACATCAAAAGTCGCCCCCTGACGATATACAAAGAGAGAGTGATCAACCTTGCTTGAAGTGAACTGTAACTCCTTGAGTGCCTGAGTAAACTTCTGATACCAATTACAAGATGCTTGCTTCAACCCATAGATGGACTTGCGCAAACGATAGACCCGAGTATCACCCGGACAAACGAATCCTTGCGAGACTTTCATATAGACTTCCTCGGTCAATTCACCATGAAGAAAGACATTATTAACATTGAGTTGATGAATATGCCAGCCGCGCGTGACAACTACTGCAAGAAGACAGTGAACCGTTACCATCTTAGCAACGAGAGAAAAGGGATCGTGATAGTCAATACCCTCGGTCTGAAGTGTAAACTTTGGAAACGAGACGTGCTTTATAGCGCTCGATTGTTCCATATGGGGTTGAAATGGACTTTCTAGACCCATTTACAATCAATCGCCTTGACACCAGGAGGTAGATACTCGAGAGTCTAAGTTCCATTTGCTTCTTGAGTTGTGATCTCCGATTGCATGGCATTAAGCCAATGAGCAATTCGAACAACTTGATAGAAATACTTCGGCTCATCCACAATACTGACCGCAACCACAAAGGTTGGATGAGTAGGAGAGTGGCGACGATTGTGCATGTGCTGCTCCAAAGGATAGACAACTTGGGACGCTTGGGGCTTGTGATCATTAAAAGGACGACTAGGAATATCCACATCATAGCCATGAAGTCGAATGAAGGGGATGGTGACCCTTGCACTTTGACGCACAACAGGCAGAAGGGTGCAAGCCCAGACGAAGTAGAGCTGGACGGAGATGGCACCCGGGGAGGAGACAAGGGAATCAGGCGATGCTGAGGTGGGTATAGCAGAAGGCTGAGCAGCTGAGGAAGGAGACGAAGGCATGACCTCCGCAAGCATGGAGGCTGCAAGATCGACATGAGAGGAATTTTTTGTTGAGGGAGACAATAAAGTAGGAGTGGTAGCTTCAATGAAGGGGAGCGGTGGTAGATCGTCGTCATCATCATCATCATCATGCAAACAAGTCTGTAAATGGGGTTGTGTTGACCGAGCTGGCAAGTGGGATGGAGTGTGGACCTAACAATAGGGGAAGATGTGTTCAAGAAAATGAATATCCCTGGAAGTGTAGATGACATTACGCTCCTAATCATAGACTCGATAACCTCGCTGTGTGGCAGGATAACCGAGAAAGACCCGTGCTCTACCCCTATCGCCGAATTTATGGAGTCCATGATAATTAACTTGAGCATATACCATGCAACCAAAGCTGCGTAAATGAGTATAAGACGGATCCTTGTCAAATAGAATTTGATATGGAGATCAATTTCCAATAGGAACAAGAGGCATACGATTAACAATATAAGTTGCTGTGAGTACGCACTCACCCCAAAATCGGAGAGGGATATTGGCGTGGAACTGAAGAGCGTGTGTGGTGTCTAAGAGATGCTGATGTTTACGCTCGACCACCCATTCTGTTGAGGCGTGTCAGGACACGAAGTTTGTAAGAGAATTTCTTCTAGTTCAGAATAACTTTTTCGTTCAACCGTGGAGAATTCATGAGCATTATCAGACTTGAACTTTAACAAAAACACCCAAACTGCATGACTGAAGTAATCAACAATGGTCAAGAAAAACCATGCACCAGAGTAAGATGTGACCTTATAACTGTCTCATACATCAATGTGAATCAACTCAAAACAAGTCGTTGGCCGTATGGTACTAGAAACAAAAGGAGCTCGAGTGTGCTTCACACGAAGACATTAATGATATGTTGCCGAAGGATAAACAACTGGATACGAAATAAGCTTACGCAAAATATTGAATTTCACCCTCGATAGATACCCAAGACACGCATGCAAGAGAATTGAACTATCAACAGCCTACTGAACTAAGTTGGCCATCGCGTTAAAACCATCGAAAAGCTTGAGAGAATAGAGACCATCAACACGCTGCCCCATCCCAATCAGATTCCTAGAGGGTAATTCCTGAATGACACAAAAGTCAAGCATAAATATTAAAGCCACTAGAAGATTACCTGTGAGTTTACTGACAAAGAGTAGGTTGCTCTGAAAATCAGGAACGTGCAAAACTCTGCGAAGAACAAGATCACTAGATAATCGTATGGACCCTATGCTCCGAAGATTTATACCCATGTCATTTGGTATTCTAACGTGGAGAGCTAGGGAATGATCATGTTCCTCAGCCAATAATAGTATGTCATTAACGACATGTTCGTTACATCCTTTATCAATAACCCACAAGTTTTTATGAGGATTGGTCATACATGCCATGTTGGAAACGGGATCAAGTGGCGTGGAAGAGCCAACTTGTGAGTCAGCGCCAAACAAGGCAATCAGCTGAGTGTACTATGCTGCCAAAAGGTCAGGGACTGGGCAGGTCGCTGCGTCAGGTTGAGCTGTCCGAGGACTATAAGGAGGTGGTCATCTCCTAGAGGAATCTGACTTCTCGGCAGAACGAAGGGGATACCATGCAACTTGAAGCAACTTTCTTTTAAGTGACCTGATTTCTCTCAATGAGAGCAATAGTGGTGTCCATGGGCATCACATTCCCTTGCCCAACTGATGGAGGACGACTAGTAGTGGAACGCCTTTCGCCTTTAGCTTGAAAGGAAGAAGCTTCGGACTGAGGACGTCGTTGGATGGTAACACTACGCATTTGTTCATTATTCAGAACCATACGATAATCCTCAGTGATGCCGCAAAGAAGCTTCATAGCAAGACTTTGTGACTTGATGGTGGAGAAAGTCTCGTCAAGTCCCATAATAAGACAATCAAACAGCCTCTCGATTTCATGTGCTTCCCGCTTGCATTCCTTGACGTTGCAAGTGCAATCAAGGGATGGGGCGAAGGATGTAATTTCATCCTAATAACCTAGCAGCTTTGAATACAACGCAACCACATATGATTTCTCCTATTAAAGAGAGAGAATGATGCGCTGAAGTTCATAAAGCCGTGGTGCACTGCCATGTCCAAACTAAGCTTCAAGATCAACCCATATCTCACGGGCTGTTTTGGCAAAGTGAACATTGTTGCACAGTCTTTACTCATCGAAGTTTTCAACCATCCTTTAACCATCGTGTTGCATTATTTCCATGCATCAGGATCAGCTGGAGATTCAGGAGCTGAAAGGGAACCATTAACAAACCCTAGTTTTTTTGGCGATTAAGGAATCTGTGGTGTCGCCTTGCATGGCTGGGGCTATTCGATTGATGGAGGAAGAAAGGCGACGACGAAACGAGTGGCTTAACGTTGTCGCCGCTGCAGGAGACCTTCAAATTATGATCAGACATGAAGAAGAAACTATGGAATTGTCTCACAGCTCTGGTACCATGTCATAAACCAACTGGTCCCAAATAACTCGAGTTGATAGGAGAGGCCCATGTCTGGATCTTAACCACTTCCTTAAGAGTATATTGCTTTTTATATTTGCTACTTCCCTCTAGTATCTTTGTGGTTTTTTTTCATTTATTTACATGGGTAGCCCCATGAATATATATAATAAATGAGACCACACTGCTCTGGTTGATGTCGGCAATGCAGTTAAAATTGTACTTATAAGGTTAAAAGCTTAAGGCTTTACGATTCCAGATCACTAAACCGCTTTTTATGTAGAATTGCGTTTTTCATTTATAGTTGTAGTAAAAATATGGACATTTATGCTTCTAGGTAATCAAAGCGCTTCTACCTAAAATCACTTTTTTTCACTACATTGATTATCGGCACCTCTTGGTGATGGGTAGTAGCCTAATGTTTTGTCTTCCCTCATATTTTCTTGCTTTTCTTTGTTATTTTGGCCTTTTAAGGGTTTTTTCACCCTATTTGCTTTTTTCCCTTTCCCTACGTGGAATCGTTCCACAAGCCTCTATTTAGAGATGGTTTGCATGGTGCGCATTTGAGGGAGTCAAGAGGTCTCTCTTTAGTTTGTGGCATGCATGGTTAATATGTCCATCCCTCATTCTTCACTCGAAGTGTGTTGTAGTTCGGTAGGCTACAAGCAATCATCCATGATTGTTAATTGCAGGGATGTCATTCCACTGTGGATGTTGTGTTTCTGAGTCCCGAATATGCTGCATGTAGTGCCTCCACCTAAGACATGGCATGGAGGTAATACTTTGTTTGGCAACAGGGGTGCAAATTCAAGAGAGGTTGCAAATTGAGGGGTAAATTGTAAAGGGTGCAAATTGGTGGGGGATTGTAAGTGGAGGGGTAAATTGTTTTTTGGATGATAAAAGTAAGAGGGTGCAAATAGAGTGAAAAGTAAGCAATTATATTATTATAAATAGATTTATTAAAATTATAAAATATTATCACAAAATAATAAAATAGATATTATTATATAATGATAAATATACTTTAGTAAAAATAATTATTATACAATAATGCTCAAATAATAATTAATTATAACAACTGTAATAATCATTGATCTAGCAATCTCAAATCTCGAAGCTCAACCTATAACTGGTCATCCTATATAGGGTTCTCGTGTCTAGTTTAACTTTAAATTGTCAAACTTGACCAAACACGTTCGAATTTGTAAGTTTTAAATATTTAGTAAACTGAGTCAACCGAAAAATTCCTCTCTACCTTTTCCACAAACACCTCGTATCTCTAATTTTCAATGCAAATTCGAGTCAACCAAGAGATCTAGATTTGACTTGACGAACATTGGTAAACCTGTTTCCGGAGTCAAACTGTCAAACCCGAAATAATGTCCACGTTAATGATATTTATAAGAAAAGAAATCAATAATATTAATTATTATTGATTTCTAATTCAATAATAATCAATAATTAGTTAATCAATTAGATTATAGGAACCATTCGAGGTTACTATAATCTAATTCAATAAAACACATAGTACAAATGTTATTTAGAGCATTCTAACTTTTTTTATTTGTTCAAATATAAACTGTATATCATTTGACATTATAGAAATCCGTCTCCATTACTCCAAGGAATAAAGGGCGAATGAAATGGTGGGTTGTAGCTGGAGGTGGTAATTAGTATTTAAATTTATGAATCCAATCCATCCACTAAAATATCCAACTAATCCAACACATTTAAATCCAATCCATTTTATCCAAATCCAATTCGATGGGTGGATTCATGGATTCATATGAAGAACTAGTAGCAGGTTATCAAACAAAATCAGAATTATCTACTTGATCTCATAGATACATATAAAATTCTTTGGAAAGCCGTATTTGACAAAGTCATATATACGACTTGGAGGGAGGTCTTTCATATCTTTCGAGATCCACCCTACAATATGGGGTCAAAAGACATAGGAAAATCTTAATTCATTTGGCCTTGATACAATCAAATAGAAAGCCCCAAGGGTGTAAACGTCATTAGTCCGATCTTTTGTAGGAGCTACCCATAATAACGAACTTGCAAAATGAATTTGTTTATCATAAAGAGATTCGTTATTCCTAACGCTACTTCATCTTAATTGTTATTTGAACAAGTAAAAGCTATGTCTTGGTCCAAGTGGGGATAGTCTTTCTCTTCTGCATGTCCATGGGGTTTTGAAAAATCCAAACATCTTAGAGATAGATAGAGAGGTAGGAAATTTTTCGAACGAACCACACTCCTTGGTATATGTCAGGAGTCCATTGATGAGAAGGGGCTAGGGAAATCGTGAACCCAATTCTTACAATGATAAATATAATCGCAATTGAAATTTATGAAGAGTTATACACAATTTAATACCTATACTTTTTACATTTTATATTTTGTTACCTAAATTTATTATTTAGACAAAAAAATAATTGTAAATTTTCATTTTGATACCTAAAAATTTACATTATGAGTACTTAGATTTTTCAAATTTTACATGATGGTACAAGGTATGTTCCCTTCGCCCGTGAAGAACTCTTTTGCCATCAGATCTGTTTCGTTGATTGTTTTCCATCTGTACCTGTAATCCTTGAAACCCTAGAATCACAAAGTTGAAAAGGTTTCTCATTTTTCTCTCTGAGTATGGCCCACGGATTTTAAGGGTTCAAATTCATGGACCCCACGAACTGGTAAATCTCACATATTAAATGTGGAATTTGTAACATGCTATAAATCCATGATAGAATTTTAACCATATAACCCCATGAACTTTTAAAATTCGAAGGTTGCCCTCATATTTACCTATTGTTGATTATAAATAATCAATTAATTAACAACAAAGAAATAATATAAATATCCAATTAATGAGCAAACATGAGTTAGATTTTTTATACTCTCCCCTGTGTTTTAGTTTCCTTTGACCTTTTCATGGAACGTATAATTCTTTGTTCCCCCTAGGGATGGGAAACGGTGCGGTCTGGTCCAGGCCAGACCATCTATACGATCTATGGTCCAGACCGAGAGGATAAAGTATAGACCACAGACCAGACCATAGACTATACGGTTCGGTCCAGACCACGCCTGTGCGGTCTGGTCTGGTCCAGATAGACCACAATCAACGAAAAATGAATAATTTGTTTAGTCAACCACACAAAAAATTGAACCAATAACCAGGAAAAATAATTGTTATTTGCCTTAAATCATTAATCCTAACATGCATGAATAATTTTGATACTCTAAATCTTAGTACATACCAAAGCTACAAAGTAAAAGCATCCCAACTTGCACCATAACGTCATAAACATTAACATAATGTCATATGGAGATACGATTATCTTTACTCTCTAGTTAAACGTGGTTGTGAATTAAGGAGGGACGAGATTCACAAAACTAAGGTTGAGACTTGAGTGTCGTTGTGGGAGTAGGGAGAGTGGTCGAATGGGCTGTTAACATGTATTTACAAGTCAGTTGGGTCCACGGTTTGGTCCGGTAAACCGCGGTCTAGACCAGACCAGACCAAGAGATCAAAACATAAAATAGTACAGACCATGGACCAGACCAGACCATACTTAACGGCCTACGGTTCAGACCAAACTATGCGGTACAGTTTGGACCACGGTGTTTCTAACTGTCTGGTCTATTTTCCCAGCCCTAGTTCCCCCGTTCTAATATATGTTGCTATATGTTACTTTGGAAAAGGAGGACAAAGGATTGGTTACCGATATATTTTACGTTAAAAGATAAATGGAATTTTCTCGTTTATGATTATTGTCCTTGTGGCAACATTATATTTATCAGTACGTAACTACGTATTGTCTTTGTGTACATGTCATAAACATGACAAATAAATAGAAAATGATAGTATGCTACTTTTGGGCTCTCACATATACTCACATTACATAAAATGGACACACACAGTAAATAACTAGAATGAAGAAAATAATTAAAAACAATTCATGAAATGCCAAATATAAAATACGTTGAGAAAAGTAATAATCATTTCTTGAAAAAGCATGACCAAAGGTAAGATGACAGATAACCTAGTTGGTGGGGGCGGGGTTCGGCTTGTGATGACGGGGTCATGAGTTTGAATCATCGTTTCGCCTTCTAGGCGTTCCCAAAGGTAGACATGACCAGCTTCAGCCGTGCAACTGGGTTGCCTGTCCCGACTATGACATCACTTAAGTGGTGATCGGGAAGGGTGTTTCACGTTTAAAAAAAAATACATACGCACGTTTATAATCGACCGAGTTCGGGTTGGATAGTACGAAAATCATGCTCATCCATTACTCGTAATATTTGAGTTCGGGTTTTAACCCTATTCACTAAAAATCTTTCGAATTAGCGTTTTACGATATCAAATCAAGTCGAATTCAGACCAACATTCTTGATTGCGGATATGTTTGCTATCCTACTAAACTCTCACTATAAAATAACCAATTCTTTCCATAGGAATAAAAGATAAATTAGAAAAATAGGGAAAAAGAGATTTATAGTTTTGTACGGGTAAAAATTGTCTAAATCGGTGCCAAAATGAAAATGCGACCTTCAATAAAAAATAAAAATAAAAAGCGACCTTCCGCAGCATTGGCGGAACACCAGTTTTCTTTATAATACTCTTCTTTATACAGTTTCCCTCTTCCCAGCCAACTATTCCTTCCCCTTCTTCGATCCCCTCTCTTCTCCAACTTCTCCCCCGCCCTCCGATATGGCGCTCTCTCACCTATCCTCCACCAGATCCAATCGCTTCCTCCGCCCCCTCGCCGCCGCCGCCGCCGCCGCCGCCGCATCCTCCCTCTGCCGCCCAATCTCCACCTCCACCGAGCCCCTCGTAATCGAGACATCCATCCCCTTCACCCCGCACAAGTGCGAGCCGCCTTCCCGCTCCGTCGAGACCAACCCCCAGGAGCTCCTCACCTTCTTCCGCGACATGGCCACCATGCGCCGGATGGAGATCGCCGCCGACTCGCTCTACAAGGCCAAGCTCATCCGAGGGTTCTGCCACTTGTACGATGGCCAGGAAGCCGTCTGCGTCGGCATGGAGGCGTCCATCAATAAAAAGGACTGCATCATCACCGCCTACAGGGATCACTGCACTTTCTTGGGCCGCGGAGGGACTCTCCTCGAAATATTTTCCGAGCTCATGGGTCGACAGGGTGGGTGCTCCAAGGGTAAAGGCGGCTCGATGCATTTTTACAAGAAGGAATCTGGATTCTATGGTGGACACGGGATTGTGGGAGCTCAGGTTCCCTTGGGTTGCGGCTTGGCCTTTGCGCAGAAGTATAACAAGGACGAGAATGTGACGTTTGCTTTGTATGGTGATGGTGCTGCCAATCAGGGCCAATTGTTTGAGGCTCTTAACATATCTGCTCTTTGGGACCTGCCAATTATCTTGGTGTGCGAGAATAACCATTGTACGGGCGTTAATCTGTTTCTGCTTTTAGATTTCCAGCGTTTTTTCCTTAGGCTCCTGCTACTTTGGAATCGGGTTCTGAATGAATGGTTGTTTGGCAGATGGCATGGGCACTGCTGAGTGGAGGGCAGCTAAGAGCCCTTCTTACTACAAGCGTGGTGATTACGTTCCTGGATTGAAGGTGAGTTTTAGGGAGTCACAAAGATATGTTCTTTCCTTTGTTAGTATTAGGAAGTCGCATATTATCTGATACAATACCATTCTTTGTCATCATATGCTAGCTTTTGCTGTTTTCTTGAAGGATTTTGTTTATTACCAAGTCAATTGGTGATTTTCATTACCATTGTTCTAGTATCAGTACCGGTTCTATCTGGCTAATCGAGACAGTTTCATATGTTTTTCAGTCACTATGCTGTATTGCGTGACAGAAACCTTGTGTTTGTTTAAGCATAATGCTCATCTATAGTTCCGAATGAAATATCACTCTTTCTTAACAGTTTTCTGTTTGGAAATAGGTGGATGGCATGGATGTACTTGCTGTTAAACAAGCATGCAAATTTGCAAAGGAGCACGTGTTAAAGAATGGACCCATTGTGAGTCTCCTATCATCCTTTCTATTGTGTATCTCAGGCGGTTTATGGTTCCTTGGTTGGTGAGTGATTCTATTGTGTTAAAGAATGGACCCATTGCAAATAAGCTTGTACCATGAAGATTCTGTAATCACCGAAAGTTTCAGAGGATCTTTCCTATGCACAATATCTCACAAACTTCATTCCATTAGAGGTCACCTTTCTAGCAGTACATAGTTTAACCTCAGGAAGATGTGCATAATAATTGAAAGTTAGTTGTTTGATTTAGCTTATTTGAGATTACTGTCTTCATGTATGGTAGAGTAGGTGAGTTTAGCTTATAGAGAGAACCTCAGTGGAAAATTCTCGTACCTTCCATGGTTGATTGTGAAGTTAGGCCACCGCTAAGTTTAAGATTTAGTACAAAAAACATGGTATACCTTTTGGGGACATGGTTTGGAGAGCTGCATTCATAGTAAGAGTGTTGATTGTGATCTTAGGTTATAAAAAAAATTAAGATATTGTACAAAGAATATGGTATAGCATTTAAGGGAACCGATGAGGGACTTGCATTCATCATTTGAGTAATGGAACATCGCAAGTGTTGATAGCTCTGACTGGTGAATGGTGAAAGTTAAGTTATCTTGTTTGCCTGTTATTGGGAGATGCCGAGATACAAGGACTAAGACTAAGTTACATTTGCATGCCATGTCCCAGTAGCCAGAATTCCTGTAACTGATGGCATATGGGATTGCTTTAACTTGTTTTTGATGGTTTTTTATTGTTTTGATGATTGTTATGTGTATAAAGTCTGCTATTGAAGGACACATTTTGGGTTTTTAAAAAGGACTAGTAATTCTAAATATGGCAGCAATCCTAGTACAGTCGATGCCCTAGGAGAACATTTGGTTCTAAAGAAACAATATCAAGAGCTACAACCACTAGAAAAGAAGATCCTAACTGTAGCTCAGATTTGTACCAGATATGAATCCTGGTTATGTTGATCAAACACCCTCTGGAAATGAATGCAAGTATGGTGCATGTATTGGTGACATGGAAATTGCTTGTAAATATTCAGGACTTAAGCCACTGGTAATTGCTTCTCTGATGCATCATTGAAGGGTGATGAGAGTGGTAGGGCGGAAGGGCAGGTATTTCTTGTAGACATGTGAGGTGGGAATATTAGAATGGAACAAGTCAGTTGTTATGTTTCTGGTTCAGGATGGTGTGTAAAGAGATCATTTGGGAACTTTAGCCAAGCTGCAGAATGTCCCTATTAGACTTTAGCAAAAATAATGTCCTTTAGTTCTTAACCATCTGAGGAGATGCAACTCCATGCTACTGAAGATTTGGTGCAATGGGCATGATCCATGTTGAAATTTACTTAATTAAGTACTATTCTGATGTGATATTTAAATGGTGAGTTGAATTGGGTTCTAGTTCAACTGCTGTGATTCAGTGATTGTGGTCATGCTTGGAGGTTTTAGAGGTTGCAGCTAAGATAGATGTGCACCACTCTGGTAATTCAGCCAAACATGTCGTATGCTGTTATTATCAGATTGCTTAGTCGCAACTCTGTAGACTTCATGACTTTCCTCTCTTGAATTTGCCTCACTTCATGCACCTAATTTATTTTTGTTTGTGTGAACTAGATTCTTGAGATGGACACATATAGGTATCACGGTCACTCCATGTCTGACCCTGGTAGCACCTACCGTACCCGTGATGAAATCTCTGGCGTGAGACAGGTGATCAGATGGTTATTAATAAATAATCTGTCTTATGTTCCATTGGGAAAACCTCTTTTGTGATCTCTAATACATTCTCTATCTTCCCACTGACCATCTTCAGGAGCGTGATCCAATTGAAAGAGTTAGGAAGTTGGTACTGGGCCATGACCTAGCCACTGAGAAAGAATTAAAGGTAATTCAACTAATGACACTTGTAAAACTGTACAGTGTAGTCGTTATATTTCCTTGTAAGCTTTGTGAGATGTGTTATGGAGAGACTGAATAGCTGTTGTCTTCTGATTTTCAGGACATTGAGAAGGAAATTAGGAAAGAAGTAGATGAAGCCATTGCCAAAGCCAAGGTTTAAATTATGAAATGGTTTTGATCACTTAGAGTGGTTTTGTGATGTCCCTAACCCTCCATGCTTGACATTGTTTTGATTTGGTTTGCAGGAGAGCCCGATGCCAGAGCCATCTGAACTCTTCACAAACGTATATGTCAAGGGTTTTGGAACAGAGGTATTTCATCTCCTGAACTTAAAAGTTCAAGTTTTCGATACCAAATGCATATCTAGATCGTGGCAGCAGCGCACAATAGAAATGGTTCTATCCTGTTTAGCAAACTAATGGAATAAGAATTGTAACGAAACATTTGGAGAGTTGCTCGATGCCCGATTGATTTGCTTCTGTTGATATTTGAATTGCAGTCGTTCGGAGCTGATAGGAAAGAACTAAGAGCAACTCTTCCATAAGAACAGGTTGCGGAATCGTGGATCACAAATAATGAAGCACATGTCTTCTCCCACGGAATTTTTTTCGTTGTTCTTATGAAATGGGTTGGTTACTGTATATGATCACTCCGTGGATCCTCCCCTCTTCGTTCCGGGAGTTGCTGGTCCTTTTTAGTTTTTGTGTAATTTTTCCATTTTGAGGGGAGCTTCCACTCCATTACCTTTGGTTATGCGATTTGCAAACACAGAGAATGTAAGCATCCCTTGTCTGACGATTACAAAGGCAAAATCTCGGTGATTCTTCGAGGCAGTATTAGGTGCTTAGTTTTTTGCTTTTTATCGATTGAAACTCTCCTGCAGCATCTTTGCGGTTATGTCATCGTTGAAGTCATACTGAACTTGTCTGTGAAAGGGTATCTTGTGGTATGCTTGTGATTTAATCGTTGTATCGGTAAAATACATTTTTGAAATAATTTTTATAAAAAATCATACTGCCAAGATCAGGGTACTTTTTCGTAGTACTACCAAGATAATATCACTGATGTTAGATATCCAGTCAGCAAGATAATCGTCCAAATACGTGTTTAGGAAAAAGTACTAACTACAAAACAACCAAACAATGTTCACAAATCACAAGTTCACAAGTTTCAAACTCAAACCAGAAAAATCACAAGTTTCAAACTCAAACCAGAAACTACTACTTGGATTTAAACTTGTAATAAAATCTATATCTTTAAACAACATTAAATGTAGAAAGGCTACTTTCTCGAACTCGTCCCTTTCAAGTTTCATCTTCTTCATCGCCTACTATAGAACACTAGAAACACACGTAAGAATCATTATAAATAATTAGTATTAGGTAACATATCAAACATAATTGATTCACACACAGACCTTCATCTTCTAATGCACGATCTAGCTCATCAACATTCAATTCTTTATCCGTAGAAGATGGATCTTCTTCCTTTACTGATAACAAATCGCTAGTAATAGTAGAATCAATGCTTTCAAGACTTATGGACTCATATGATTCTTTGTTCTTCTTGGTATAAGACTCCCTAATCAAAGTAGAAAGACATAAAATGATTCAGTTCAATAGTAAGCATAAAAAGTATAATTCAACTCACAAGTTATATCATTCAAATCATACCTATTTTGCAATCGCAAGTTGTAATTCATAAATGCCAAGTCACTAAACATTTTGTGCTGCAATTTGTTTCTTCTTTTGATGTGCACACGTTCACAAACACTACGATTACGTTCACAACCAAAAGAAGAAGTAGTTTTGCTAAGAATTCGAACAGCCAACTTCTGAAGATGGATTATCAATACCAAACCATTTCCGCCACTTATCTACATAATAAGCATACATGTTGGTTTGTTAAATTTTCTAATAAATAGAATCACTTCAATGCACACAATATCAATTACCGTGTTATTGTTTTGGTGCATAATCTATTGCTAGCTTCCTCCCCAAGTTCCCTGAATGTTCAGCATACAACATTGCATGTTGACTATCTGAATCCACAATGCGAAGCAACTTCACAAGTGGAGCGGTTAACTTAACGATGAAGTCACAATCAGATTAACTGTTGGTCTAGTACAATTTCCTTCGCATCCTTTCCAACTTTGATACCTGAGAAATCACTATCTCTAAAGAGCTTATCAATCAACAGAGCCTCCAAATCATACATGTGCAAAGAAATTCTTTGCAAACTCAAAAATGTAGTGGCAATTCTAGTAGCACCAGGTCTCTGTATTTCTTTCCAATTCTCCTTTATCATCAACCAAAAATAAATTGGACCATGATTGTAAACAAATTTAGAGATCTTTCAAGCTCGATATGCAAGCCTCCTAACACGTGGCATATCTCCAATGTCTTTCAAGATCAAATTAAGAGTATGAGCAAAACAAGGAGTCCAACATATATGACCATAATGCTCTTGTATCATTGACCATACAACTTTATAAATGGATGGAGTATCAGTCGCCACAAGCACAACATTCTCCGCTCCAATCCAACCAATAACCCCACAAAATAATTTGAACAAGTTCTTTCCACTCTTGACCACACCAGAAGCATTAACCATGTATCATTAGGAGAGTAATTGAGAAAATTGATTAAGGATATATGTCTATTATCGATCCAAACATCCGCCATAATAGTCCATCAAGATTCTTTCCAATGAAACTTCATATTCTCAATCAATAGCTGACTTTCACAATGCTATCCGACAATGTGAACCTCAAAGCATAATAACTAAGGCCTTGATAAGCATGACCTAGAGTCAAATAAGCATCCAATGCAATTTTAAACTATGGAAAATCAATTCCATCTGAAGGAAAACAAGATCTAGCCCATGCTCGACCTACATATAATATAACTTATTTAGATGCTAAATTGCTAATGCACCCTTTATTCCTTATTGGCTACTCGGAGTTGACCTTGGAGCAAACAAAGTGTTAACACAACTCTTTTTTTAACTACTACAATCATCTTATGCACTAGAACTACTATGACGAGGTTCTTTAATTTTGGCTTTGATAGCTTTAGTTTTCTTCTTATTAGCTTCTTTATCAGTCACATTCTTCAACTAGTTTTGACGAACATCATAATGCACCTTTTGGCATACAGTATTATCCCACTAATTCCAGCTGGATGTTTTTCATTCAAGTGATTACAGAGAACCCTAATCAAACGCACATAAAATGAGATTTCTAAAATTAAAACCTTAAATCAACAAATTCACCACTACATTACGATAGTTTATGTATTACAACCTTATATTTAAACCTCTTTTTATATATTTTTGTGCAATTTAGATGGATATGGATGATTTATATTTGGATAAAGTGATATTTTAATATTAAATTTTAATAAGTGTAAACATTTTGTTGTGGACATTATATATTATATTCAAATTTGAATTTTTTTCGGTAATTAACTTGAATTTTTTTTCTTATTGATATAATGTTATATTTTATTTGAATATGAATGTTGAAAGATTGTTTAGACTTAAAATAACTTAGATATATACAAAATAATAATAAAAAATTATTTATTTGGACTAAAATGAGTTGAATTTATTAAACTACTAACCCTTAACTCCCTTGGTCAACCGGGGCAATGGTTGAAACCTGGTTGAGATTTGAGAACCTTGCAAAATACACATCCGTAGAGCAACGGCGGAGATCGGTGAGACCCTGAGAGGCGGCTAGTGAATTGGGCTGAGAGTTACACTGTAGACAAAGCTTGGGCTCCGTTTCTTAACATATCAAACTAACTGGGCCTGATAATACACAGAAAAAGAGTAGCGGTTCTAGTTCTACCTCGTTGCTTGAGGATTAGGGTTTTGGATTTGTTTGTCACCGAGCTCCCAACCAAGCTAATTCACACAGAGCGGCGCAGCAGTTTTCTCCGGCAGGAAAAGCAACCATGGGCCACCAAAACGTCTGGAATTCTCACCCCAAGACCTACGGTCCTGGATCTCGGGCTTGGTTAGTCATCTTCTTCCCATGTCTTTCTTCTTCTCGGTTTCTAGATCCGTCTCTGCTTCGTTTGCAGTTGTTCGGCTCTCCGATTTGGGTTTCGTCACTGATGATAAGGGTTTTCGTTCATTGATCCTTTAAAGTAAATGGATTTCGAATTTGCTTTGCAGACCTAATTTGATTGACAAATATGTTTGTGGAGATGTATGATGTAGCTGTTATCTTAGCCCTCAAAGAATCCTGTAAACATGTTTAGAGATATCAGAAAGGGCCTCATTCCATTTTGTGCAACAATTTTTCGCTTAAGACCTCGCAGTATTCCTGATGGGTAGATGGCTGGCTGGTGGATGTTGTAATCTGTTGTTTACAGTTTTGTCGAATTTCTGTTCCGTATTGGTGTGCTGCAGCTGAAGTCTAGATTGACCGTTAAGTGAATTTGCTTTGATTAATGTTTAGCTGCTCCAAGGGACGGTGTAAGACTTCCCTCCTGAATTGGGAATGTGCTTGATGTACCATTTTTTTTTTTAACTCTGCTTCCTTGGTTATGTTCTGGACAGCCGTGTCTGTGGCAACCCTCATGCAATCATCAGGAAGTACGGGCTCATGTGCTGCAGGCAGTGCTTCCGCAGCAACGCCAAGGAGATTGGTTTCATCAAGGTAAAAAGGCAGAAGAATCCTTCTGCTTTTGGTTTTGGATGGATTGTTTTCTTTTTCATCTTAATGTTTTGTCTCCTGTAATCGGTGAAAGAACTAGTTAACTGTTGAATTCATTGTTTCATCATTTTTACAGTCTTACTGAACCCTAACTATGTCATGTTTTCCCCCTTCTTACCAGTACCGTTGAGTGGAATTGGAGCCTTTTTTTATTGCTGGATGAGTTTCTTAACAGAGCTTGCTGGCAATGGAGACGTTGACCTACCTCACAGCTGCTTGGCTTCAGTTTTCAAGTGATCTATCTAATCCTGAAGACAAAGATAATTTTGTTTGGTTATGATCATGTTGAACTAGATTGTCACTTTCCTTTTTTTTTAGTGAAATTTAATTGAGAACCAACCTACTTTTGGTATCCGTCTGGATCAATCTGCTGACTGCCATTGGAATCGTTTCTGGCCTGTGGTCGAGGTGTTGTTTGTTACAGCTTTTCAAATTCCTTATTATCTTGTTGGAGTTGGGCGCTGGCTTGGCTATGGATTCAGCTAAGTCACTTTTTGAACCTTTCATCGTGGTTGGCTTGCAATTATACAGCGGTGGACGAAACCGCTAAGTCAAAAGATGGGCTGGTTGGTATGTGCAAATGGAGGCCACAGGCAAGCGCTTGTGTGGATTTTGTCACCGAGCTACAGTGGAATGTGAACGAGAGGAAATACATATGGATTAGGGTTTTGGGAGATCAAAGTGTAAATTGATTGAAATTAACCTTCATTTGGTTCAACATGTTGTGGTACTTCTTCCAACTATAGTATAAACATGTGATTGACTTTGTGTCACGCAGGAACTGGGACATTAATCAACAATACAAGAAAGACAACGATGGCTAAGAAAGTAAAGAATGCACCAATTTACGTGGTTCACTAACATAACGTGTTTTAGCTAGTCCATGGGCGAGAGAGAGCCAGCTTCACTATACTTGGGGAGATGCATATTAATTACAGAAGAGTATGAGAAGTATTTATAGTACTTATCCAACAAAACCCCCCCATGACTTTCAGTCAATGGCAGATAACTCGATTCAAGTCATATTAACAAACTCATTGACATAATGTGATAACCTTTACAGAAAACCATCAAACAATCTCATCACGAAATCGTATTGGTCGAATATTAAGCTTGTACGGTTCATACTTTTAATTTTTGAAAGAGACTCGGTTGGCCGAATTCATGGCTACTTATATGCCAGGGAACCATCACTTTAGGCTGGATTGTTCAATATTAGCGGTTAAAACAGTAAACGTTGTTCCTAAATCCTTTAAAAAAAACAGATAATCTTGTTCCTCATGTTTTGGACTACAGATCGAAGTTGTTTGTGCGAGTGTTGTCATGTTCAGCTAGCTACAGCAACGATATTGTTGAAACTGACAGAAGCTAGAGCAATATAATATTTCTTTGTGAAAGAAAATGAACAACCTTAACTCATCGATCAAGCTGATGAGATCCAAGAGTTTGGACGTGTCTGAAAGTAGAACAGCCAGAGAGATTTGCTTTGTGATTTTGTCTTCATCATCAGCTAGCCCTCTGTTTCTGATCTTCTTGTGCCAAGTTTTGACCCATTCCCTTTGTCTTTCGTGTTACATGCCAAGATCTGCACTGCATGGTTACCGGCCAGTTGGTTTGTGCATGGCTCTTCTTCTCTTGTCAATGAGAAAGCTACTTGTCACCTTTTGACTACTGATCATCGGTAATATCTGGATTAATTGTTTGTTTAAGAAACGATAAAAGTGCAATAAAAACAGATGTTGATGTGTTGTCAAACTGTATTAACTACCTAACTAACTAAACCACCAGTGTTTGATGTGCAGATCGATCAGTAGATTACACAAAGATTTGTCTCTCTCACTCATGGATTATTATTGCCGGTATTTGGTTTTATTTTTTGGTGTTTATGAAAAGACATTATTCTTTGATTTATTTAACTTATTTGTGAAATAGACTTTTACTAGTCGATAAACAAAAAAGTCTTCGCCAGGGTACAGAAAATAGGACTAATTTTCAACAAATAACAATAATATTAAAAAGAACTATCACTTCTTAGGGTATCACAAACGGCCTCCAAAGGATTGAACTCTCTGTGGCTGCAGACACTTTTCAAAATGTTACGTAGCCAGCAAATTACGGTGAAGCGCTTATCAAAGGTTCATGGATTTGACTAGAGGTGGCTATTTCAATCCAATCCACCAATCCAATCCATCAATCCATTAAAAATATCCACCTAATCCAATCCATTTAAATCCAATCTATTTGATCCAAATCCAATTGGATTGGTGGATTCATGGATTGGATCCATGGATCATTAGCAAATTACGATTTAGTACCTATAATTTTTATTTTTTACATTTTGGTACCTAAAATTTAAATTTTTATACAAAAAATATCATTGGAAAATTACGTTTTGGTACCTAAAATTTTTCATTATGACATTTTAGTACCTAAACTTTTTACATTTTACATATTGGTCATTGATTGAGGATGTCATTTGGATTCATGGATAATCCACCAATCCACTTGATCCAATCCATGAATCCACCAATCCATTAGATCCAATCCGTTTGATCCATGGATCCACCAATCCAATCCACCAATCCACCAATCCAATCCATTTGCCACCTCTAGATTTGACCCTTGCTCAAATTTTCATCTCATATAAGCACTACCAAATTAAAAGTTAGCTATCGGTTACTTGGTTTACAAGTTAATCATTAATCGCCCCAGTCAAATTATTAAACAAGCAACCAATACAATCGCCATGATAACAGTCATAGTCAGCCATTAAATTTAGAGGTACATTATTTTTCACCAATAAAATCACTATTTACCCTAACTTTCCAAAAAATCTCTAGTTATATTATTTATATATCTGAACTTCTATTTAACGAACTAAGTTTTTTTTTTTTTAAATTTTGCCCTAAAATGTATTGAATGGATACTTTTGCCCCTAGCTCTAATTTGTAACGAAAAAACCTAAAGTCCTAAACCCTTGCCCTCCTTGCTCCCCACCCCAAACTAGACCCAATCGCCACCTCCCTGTCAATACTCGCCGAACAATGAAGAGAAATAACTAATAACTAGCTTTTACTCGGCCTTTGGCCGAATGGGTTTCGCTTTATTATTTATATTGGTTAATTTATAATTATATTTAAAATATTAACCCGATTCGTTGGTCGGATAAATTTTATTTTATTTTAATAAATCTGTTCATGTTTTTAAATAAGTTGAGGTTTCTAAAATAGTTAATTCATTATTTCATAGTAATTTATATGTTATTTGTTGATTATGACATTACCGATAATGAGTTAATATGTACTTTTTTATCAAGTCCCCCTAGTTTACTGTTGTGTATTTTTTTCATATCTTAGAAGAAATTTGTGGACTTTTTATTATCGGATATGAAGTTGGAGTTGAAAGAAAATATGTCATCTAGAATGGTAGGAATTGAAGATATATAAAAATATCAAGAGAATAACGAAAAGATTATGCCTAGAAATCTCAAATATGGAAGAATACGAAAACATAATGCTTATTGTATAAATTATTATAATTTAGTGTACAGGCTTGATTGAATAATAAGTGGAGGCTCTTAAGTGTTAGATACCAATGCACGTACAAAAGTTACGAAAATTCAACATTATAAAACCTTAAATTCTACTTTATCAATACAATCTTTGACTTTTCATGTGCAGTTAAATTGTCACTCTATTATCCATTTTCTCAAATCTATCCCTTTTATTTTTCACATCAAACATGCCCTTGTAATATATAGTATATATGTATTATCAAATAAAATTTAATCCTTTTTATGGTTTATCTTCTCCATCTGCAACTCCCAATAATTAATAGCCACAATCTCATCCTCCATCTGTCCCACTTTCTCTTCCTTCGACCTAACAATAATTAAACGCAAAAACTTGTCCATCACGAAAGAACCTTGAAGACCGACTTTTGAATTTCAACCACTCTCTGAAAGTCCACAATTATTGATCGATTTGACTCAATCATAAATATTGGAACCAAATTTTTTTAGAATATATGGATTTCAAGTATCAAAAGTTGTCAACCTGGTTTAGCTCGTTGGTCCAGTCGATTAAGTGGGTTGAGGGTTAATGGTCCAATTGTTTTAGTCCGCTTTTGCCCGGATATATGAAAAAATTATTATATTGTTCATATATTTATAAATTATATAAAATCACATCTACACATGAATAATATTCTTCCTCCACCGGACTATCTACATTTGTTTCTCAATTTGCTATTTTTCGCTATCCTCCTTCAAGCTCCTAAACTGCACTCCAACAACATGTATTCGTCATGCGATAAAGGTCGCACTCCTATTGTGACGATGTGTGTCGGAAGTGGAATTAATGAGTAACGACCAAGTGGTAATTGTGCATGGGGGTGTTTGCGAGGGAAGACAATATGTGATGGAAGGCGAGTTCTTCCAGTAGTCTCTTTGTTAACATAATTGACTTGACGGATTTAGCTTACCAATTCGCGGAGCGGAGCTAGAGCCGGAGCTAGAGCAGGAGCTAGAATGGGAGCCTAAGAGTGTATATTTTTCAAGAATTATAATTTGAGTGCGCCAAAAGAGCGTGAATATTATATTATTTTAATTAATATACCATTTAACTTACTAACATGTTTTGATCAAAATATTACATCAATGCAGCGGGGGAAAAATAAAATCATTTGAGTAGAATAATAGTTTTAAATAATCTGATTAGACCCAAAAAAGGAACAAACTTCAAAAGTTGAATAGAAACCCAAAAAAGTTTATGATACTATTTTGTTTTATTTTTTTAAAACGGAAAAGAGAAATGAATGCATCGTTTATCCACCCTCATGCACGCAATTAGTTGTTAATAAAAGAGTCTATATCTTTTTCTTCTCTTTCGATTCTTTGTTTCCTAAGCCGACACTGGATATCTCCTGTAGATGTACCAAATTGGCAAATTCTATATTATCGGCTATCTAACTAACCTCGTAGTCCTATCATTTTATTTAGCCCCAAGCCCATGATTGGATGATCTATTTCACAGAACTCATTCACGAACTCATAGTGTATCCTTTTCGTCTTTGCTCTCCAGATCTATGGCACCGCATCTATTTCTTTCTCCCACGAAAAGAAGCGGGTCATCATCTTCAAGCCAAAGCTGTTGATTTAGCTATAAATTGTTTCATTTTACTTTGTTTATAGAGAGAAAAATCTCCCAAATAAGTGATATATGAAATAAAATTTGCGAACATTGATTTTCGATGCTCCAATTTTTAGTTTGAGAAACAATTTCTGGGGTTTAGAAGTTTTAGTTTCTGTAAAATAATTAAGAAGCAAATATATAATTCCTACTTTCACTTTCGTTGTAGAAATTTTGAAACGAGACAACAATTTTCTCATTTTAGTATTATATATTGTGTAGAGTGTATATTTTTCCCTACAAATTCATTAGCACATTGAAAAAAAGGTGAAATGAACCAACTTATTAAACTTCTAATGATTGTTGGATCCAATCATGTCAGAATAGGAAAAGATTTAAAATTTGACGGGTGGCTTGGAGGCAATGCCAGATGCTCGTGGTTTAGCAAAATCTCTCAGGCTGCCATGATGGTCTCTTCTTCCTTCACCTCTTTATAGTCTTCAAATCCCGTTTCAGTGTTTCACTATCTTGAACTTCAGAAGGATTGCTCACTGTCTCGTACACAACTTCTTCAAGTTTTCGTTTGTAAAATCTGGTGATTGGTCGATTCATACAAGGAATCCTGAATAACAAAGACAGTAAAAACCCGTGAAAAGCAAGGTAGGAAAATAAATAAAAATAACAAAATAATATAATTCTTTTTCTCACAACTAGAAAAATTTCCCGGGAACGGCGCCAAAATTTGTTGTCACTAAAAGCGCATACAAAGATGATCCAAAGAGTGAAACTGATTGGAGTCGTATTCCCTAGAGTCTTTTTTATTGCCTTACTCAAGTATTAGTAATCTTCTGTATTACAAACTAATTTATTTAGACACTGGTGTGGAATTTTTTTTTGGGTTGCTTTCCCCCTCGATATTCAAATTATCCCGAACAAATTCAATGTAACTATACAATTTTAAGAAGAAGTTACATCCCATCATAATTATCAAAATTGAATTCATGCATTTTCATACCATTGAATTCTATCAACTTTCAATTCACAATGTCAGTTTTCGTCTTATTTAAGTATTGAAAGTGATCAATTGATTTCCCAAATTACAATCAAGATGAACCACACAAATTAATCATGATTTCTCGTTAGATTTACCTGAATGGTTTTATTTATCGATCAAGGAGTCATAGTGTTGTTTCTCGACGACTCTGTCTTCCAACGATTTTGTAAATTTAAGGTCTCTCCTCCCATAAAGAGACTAGATAAATGAATACAAGAGGTGTTAATCCGTCAAAAATTTGTTAGTTAAGTTGTTTTGAAAAGAGTTGGGATCTTTAATTTTATCGAGGGTTCCACCATTCCAAACAACGGGGGTTTTAGTTCTTCAATTTATCCTTCACACTTGTCCATAAAAAAATATAAATAAAGGAACCTAAACGCCCAAGTGGCATTTTTCCCCTCCTCTTTCTCTCCAATTTGAATGGTTTGGTTGAGTACCATTTACCACAGTGGATTTTCTATCCACTTTCCATCCCCTCCTACTACTAGTCTACTACCCTTTTAAAAAAACAGAGGAAAATGCTTAGAGACTCGTGCTTTCCTCTCACTAATTCCTTCCCCTTCCCTTTCCTCCCCTTCAGAACAGAGTGGACATGTTTGTTTTCGTCAATGAATTACAACAAGATACAAGTAGAACTTACGAAGGGACACACAATACATTAACATTACAATAGTGGCGAATCCGGCCCAAAATCCGTCAACACGGGTTTTACCCGCGTTGACCGGGTTGGGTCGGGTGGGTACCCATGAATTTGAGTTTTGTTGTCATCCCTAGGTGTGGAGCAGGTGGTCGAGGAAGCTGACGTGCTTATGCCAGCACTTTCCTGCACCGATGGAACGCAGGACGATGACTACTGGCTACAGTAGAGGTGAAAGATATCCCCTAGAAAGAATCTGGGTTGGGTGGAATAGACTATATTGTCTGGTTCATGGGTTGTATTTGGTTGGATTTCTGATGTGGCGGGTTTTGATGATATGGCGGTTTATGTCATAATTTATTTGTGTCAAAATTTGATGAACTAGATATGTTTGTTAGCCACGTTAGTAACAAAAAGAAAATGATATCGTTAGCAAAAGTTAATTTATGTTAATAGCCAGTGACCAAACTTCGAATGTTAAACTAATTTCAGTGACCACATGAAATAAAATATATTTATTGGTAAGTATGAAATTTTTTAATAATCAACATGACCAAACTTGCAATTTAGGCAAGGACCCAGTGAGGAGGTTACGACAAAATGGGCACCTCTGTCTCTGGCAACAAAACTGAAGACAGACAAAACGGGCACCGTATTGTCCTGTGCTGTCAACTGTCAGCTGCCTCACTATACGACGCCGTTGCAACTGTAGTATTCTCTTAAGTCTTAACTCAGAGTATCCAATGATCTCTCTATGAATTATTATATAATATATACCTGTATTATATATTAAATGTAAAAAATAATAATACAACCCACTTCTGCCACAAAATCTTTGGTACTAAATCTTCACTTTTTTTACTCGGTTAAAAGGCTGTACTGTTTTCTCTGTTCTCACCTTCTCTTTTCACACCCACACGTAGTGAAATTAGAATATACCGAATTTTCTACCCAAAAAAATTACCGAATTCACACACCACGGTGAAAATATCAAAACAAATACTGCAGAGTACAAACAGACTCCGTGCTGATTGCTGAACGGTTCATTCATTCGTTCCAATGAGGTGAGAGAAGAGCGCACAGACACAAGTTGCTCTGATTTCTTCGTTGGAACTTCCACCGGGGGGTTGAAATTGTTTCCCAACTTAATTTTCACTCTGCCAGATGATACCAACTACGAGAATTTTTTTTGTGGCAATGAGCAGTGGTTATTTATGGCAACTTAGTTGGGACTTGGGAGTTATTAATTTTGGCATAAGAGGATCCAATCTCCGGGTTAATGACATAAATATTGTGTTTTTTTTTAATTGCCACAAATATTGCGGATTAAAAAAAATTGACACAAATATTGTGTTTTTTAGTAAAGTTTGGGGCGGAACCACCAGAGACTCAGGCGGGGCTGCTGTTTTACCCAGTTCTGGACGCTGGCGGCCCAGTCTCAAGCGGCCCCGCCTCACCCCCCCCTCCCCCCACCCCCCGAACCAGAGAAGCCTACCAGCCGCCCGCCGCAAGCGCTGCCGCCCAGGACTGAGGCGCCGACACCGCAGAGTCAGGCGCCGCCGCTGCCGAGTGGAGCGCCGCCGCTGCTGACAAAAGCGCCACCGCCCGAGATGTCCTCCGACGAAGAACCAGTCGCCGCCGGCAGAGGCAGGGGGAGAGGCCGGCGAGGTCGTGGTGGAGTCGGCGGCCGTTTACGCGGTGAGACTCTCGTCGGCGACTTGATTTTTTTTAATGTTTTGTTGCTTTGTTTTTGCAGTTC